TTTTGCCCCAGACTCTGTGCCTTCCCAATCCTCCTCCATGGGCCCAGGGCCTCCCCCGGCCCCGGCCCCGCCCCGCCCCTAGGCAGGCACAGGCGGTTCCCTCCCGCTCCCCCTTCCCCTCCCTCCTCCCCCTCCCCTCCCCTCCCCGGGCCTGCAGCGGCAGGGCGGCCCTTGCTCGCCCCAGGTGGGTGTGCGCATCTGGAGCGGGCGACGCCGCCGCGCAGCCGTTGCCTGGCAACAGAGGCTCGCCCTGCCTGTGGCTCAGTCTGCGCTCGGTGCTCCCCAAAAGCTCCGCTCCCGCCGCTGCAGGTGAACCAGCTACGATTTTGGATTCTGATCCCAAAATTTGTGTTTAAAACACAAATGAGGATTAATTTTCGAGACCAGACTAGGAAAAGCCCAGATGATTGGCTTAAAGGGGGAGAGAGGAAGGTGTCTTGATCGCCTACCTGATAACAGACTGGGTAAAACTGCCTTTGCATTTCTCATAAAAAAAAATTGCATCACTGTATACGGACATTACTTTTCTGTTTTAGAATGTTTAGCTGCGTATTGTGGAACACACTCTAGGTCGTTTAGTGCAGCTATTACAGATCCCAGATACACCCCTTACTCGCCCCTCGAAGCTTCTGTAAAGTAATGGCGACAATAGTTCCTTTTAGGGTTATTGCAAATGCTACAGAAATTATTCCATGGGAAGGACTAGCACAGTGCCAGCAATGAGTGAACAACTAGGAGAGGCTGTTTTACACTGAACATATTGTTGTATTGACATATTAACTTCTTGGGTGTATTATTCATCATATATGATCATCTAAATCTTATCAGAATTCAAATACAAAAATTTATCTTTAACCCCGTTTAATGATAAACTTGGGCATATTAAAATTTTTAAGAGTTTATTTGAGCAAAACTTGATTTGAATCAGGCAGCATCCCATCTAACAGAAAGAAAGGAGCTCCAAGTCCTGCACAAAATGAAAGGCTTTCAAAATGAGCTGGGAGCAGAAACAAGGAAATTATACTAGGTTAAAAAGCGGGTTGATTATTGCAGGGTTACTTTTCCTTAGGGGATAACAGGGGTGTATGAAGCAGATTACCTAACTTGTGCTCATCAGGCGATTCCAGATTGACAGGTTTAAGATTTCATTTCTAGGGGCGCCTGGGTGGCTCAGCTTAACAGCCTCTGCCTTTGGCTCAGGTCATGATCCCAGGGTCCTGGGGTCGAGCCCCGCATCGGGCTCCCTGCTCAGCGGGAAGCCTGCTTCTCCCTCTCCCACTCCCCCTGCTTGTGTTCCCTCTCTCGCTGTGTCTTTCTCTCTGTCAAATAAATAAATAAAATCTTTAAAAAAAATATTTCATTTCTAGGAAACTCAAAACTGTAATTGATTCTCAGTTTGGTGACGTGGGGATTAGCCTAAGCAACTCGATTTGGGGCCCATTTTCTTGCTTTTTGACACCCTTAAATCCTAGATCTGAACAAGTGGAAACTTTTTGCTGTATTTTTAGGGTAACTGAATTATCAGGCTGTCTTAAAAGTGTAGCTTTGGGGTCTGACTTAATTCTCCCTTTATAAGTTTTCATGGGATTTGTTTTGAAACTTTTTCTTCCAATTGTTTATAAAAATCTTGGCATTAGGAGTGCCTGGGTGGCTGTCTCAGTCGGTTAAGCATCTGCCTTCAGCTCAGGTCATGAAGCCAGGATCCTGGGATCAAGTCCCGCATCAGACTCCCTGCTCAGCGGGGAGCCTGCTTCTCCCTCTCCTCCCTGCTCGTGCTCTCTCTCACTATCTCTGTCACTATCTCTCTCTCTCTCAAATAAGTAAATAAAATCTTTTTTTAAAAAATCTTGGTATTAAGGGCACCTGGGTGGCTCAGTTGGTTAAGTGACTGCCTTCCGCTCAGGTCATGATCCTGGAGTCCCAGAATCGAGTCCTGCATAGGGCTCCCTGCTCAGCGGGTAGTCTGCTTCTCTCAAATAAATAAATAAAATCTTTAAAAAAAATCTTGGTATTAAGAAAACTGACAAACCCTTATGAACATCCCACTGTACTATGCAATTTTTACATACCTTTTCTTGCCTCCTGACTGCCCCCATTACCCACGGTACATGCCAGGTTGATATTACCATGCATGTACATGTGTGTTAACTCAAAGTGTGAGGCCTGGCAGCGGTGATAAACAGTCCTCTTCCACAAAACCAGAACCTTTAACCTAGCTCAGCCTATAGTATGGCACTGTATGTTCGCTTCTGCCTCTGTCAAGAAGAATAATTTATTGCTGTTGTTTTTTAGAAAGTATTAATATTTTCAGTATAGTACCAAACTGGACAAGTGCTTCCTGAACTTAAAATCTGATGACAAAATTCCTTTCATGAGACCCCACCCTTTGAGCACTCAGGAATTCATTCATCCATTCAACAAATATTCATGGGGCACCTCCTCCAGCCCAGGCACTGGAGTAGACACAGGTGCCGCAGGTGTAAATGACAGACTCAGGCCCAGCCCTCATGGAGGCCGTGGTCTAGCCGACTTTGGAAAAAGCTGTAAATAAACCATACAATGCAAGGAGCTGGTGAGACTATGAAGCACGGGGAAGGGGTCTAACACTGAATGTGGAGGGAGTAGTGAGGCTAGAAGGGTAAGTAGGAGGTGGCCAAGTGGAGAAGATATTCCAGGTATTCTAGGGAGGAGCAGCATGCGAACCCAATGGATAAGCCAGGGTGTTCAGGAAGTCCATGCGGGTGGAAGGAGGGTCAGGGCAGTGCTGGGAAGGGGAGACACTTGAGAGCTGAGGCCACAGAGTTTACACCAACCCAGTCTTGAAGGATCATGGTCGAGGCCTTGTTAGTGGTGGGGGTAGACATGGCAGATCTGTACTGTCACTGTGGCCACATGGGCCACTGGAGTAAGTAAGCAGGAGGCCATTGCCAAAATCCACGTTAGATTAGTGATCTAAGACCATGGTAATGGAAGACAGGGTGGAAGAGATATTTGGTATTTAGGAAACTGACTCCATGGGACACAGTAACTATTTGGGTTTTCAGGAAGGAAAAGGAGTCAGGAATGAGACCCGTGTTCTGGTTTGGAAAATCAGGGACTCTTATCACAGAAAGAGAACAGAAAGGAAAGGGCTGGAGGTATGGGGGCAGGTGTAGGGTTTGAGCTCAGCCCTTGGCAGGTAGAGCTGAGGATGTACCTCAGGGAGATGAAAGTGGAGGTAGGCTTGGGGATGGCAGGGTACAAGAGGGTGAGCTGGGCTGGAGATGTGATGTGGCCGCAGTTAGAGCTGCGCGCTTAGAGGATGGAGGATGCAGTCAGCCCCACCAGGACTGTGTGCACAGGGGCGAAAGGGTGGGTGGGGTCCCGGGCACCTCCACCAGCTGGAGGCTGAGCAGGCCATGAAAACCACCATCCGATGCAAGCCAAAGAACAAGCCAGTCCCAAGGGAGGGTCAGTGCCAGCTCCATGGAGAGGTCAAGGAAAGTAAAGACCAAAGTTTACGGATAAAGTTTCGTGCCTGGGAGGCCACTGATGACCCTAAGGAGAACATTTTCAGTGTAGGGAGGTGGGCCAAAGCCAGGCTGCCAGGAGCTGAGGGGTGAACAAGAGGTAAGGAAGGACAGGCCAGCGTCAGATTCCCTTTTTCACTCTTGGAGTCGTGGGCAGGAGGGGGAAATGGTGGCACTAGCAAGGAGCCTGGGGTGTCAGGAGGTTCTGTTGGGTTTGAGTGAGACACATTGACAAGTGAGGCCCGCTGTGCCCCGGGTGCGGCCTACAGAGGGAATGAGGCAGCGGAGTGCCGGGAGCCCCGCCAGGTGCTGTTTGCTCTCTGTAAAGAAGATCAGGCGGGCTGAATGTGAGAGAAACGCAGGTTGGGAGGAAACTGGGGCACTTGAACACAGATGAACAAGGCCACGTAGAAGAATCGGCGTGCAGGGCCTCGGGCCCCCAGCGCCTGAAGACCATGACCGTGCCAGCACAGCGCCGCACGAGGAAGTGATCTCCAACCCGGACTTCTAGGCCGGGTCGCCTCTTTTGCCGACCTTCCCCCAAGTCCAAGAATGCGAGTGCAAAGCTGCCGCGGACGGACCGTCTGTGCGGGCCGGTGGTAGCAGTAACCGAGGGAACTCGCACTCAGCCCCGCGAGTGAGAACGCAGACCGGTCTCTACCTTCTTCGGTTCCACGGCTCCAAGCCAAAGTTCGAAGCCATAGTGTCTCCTAGGAAAGTAGTAGAGCTGTTCAGAGAACTGCGAAGGAGAAACGGGGGCTGGAGAGAAAGACAAGAGGCTAAGGGAGGCGGCGGCGTGGGTGCGCTGGAATAGTCTAGAAAATGAACGGAACAAAGGCGGTGTGACTGGTGAGCCTCTTACAGATCCTCCTCCCTGATAGAATATGCATGATCCTGCGCGAGTCCTCGCCTGCCTGGGAGCAGGGAGGCGTCCGAGGCATCGGCGGGGAGCGCACGCCCAGACCCAGTCTCCCGGGCTCGGGGTGCGAGAGAGGCACGCGGCTGAGGTGCGGACCCCGCGCGGGTGAGCGTCCCGCGGGCCGGGCTCGGAGAGGTCAGCTCCCGACCCCTCCAGCACCGATAGCTCTAGTGCCCCAGCGAGATCCCAGCGAGCAGGCCAGCTCCCCTTCCCTGCCGCGCGGAGGCCCGGGGGTCGCTCGGAACCGGGAGGGGGCGCGCGTCCGACGGCGGAGGTAGCGCGGGGCGCGAGCGGGCCGGCGGGTGTCCACGGTCGCCCGGAGGGGACCGGCGGTGCGCTCCGTCCCGCCGCGCCGCTGTGGGCCAGCACGCGGCGGCGCCGGGATACCCTCGCGCTCCCGCAGGGCGCTTCCCCGGCGGTGCAGGCGGGGGCGGGGCTGAGCCAGGCTAAGCGCGGCGGGCGGCGGACGGTGCGGGCGCGGGGACGAGGGGCGAGCGCCGGGCGCAGCGCCTCCCTGGCTAGCTCCGGCAGAGCCCGGTCTGCCTTCATTCTGTGCGGTTTGTCCAGAAGAAAATTCTAAACCTGTATCTTTAAAAAGCATTTATTTGGCTCCGCGCGTCTTCCTCGCATCCTTTTTAGTTGGGAGTTTGCGGTGGGCAGAGGGAGGGAGAAGGAACGCCTGTTCTGATCGGCAAACACCGAGACCAGAGCATCTCTTTCAGCGGCAAGGAAGAGAAGCCGTCGCAGGATCCACACACATCTACAACTCTCTGTTGCTTTTTGTGCAAATACCTAACTCTGCCTGACGTCCATCCAAGCGGACAGGCATGGGGTGTCTGGGCAACAGCAAGACGGCAGAAGACCAGGGCGTCGATGAAAAAGAACGACGCGAGGCCAACAAGAAGATCGAGAAGCAGTTGCAGAAGGAGCGTCTGGCATACAAAGCGACTCACCGCCTGCTGCTACTGGGTAAGGCCGGAGGGCGCGCGGCGGCTCCCGGCCCGAGCGGAGCGCACAGCCCCGAGCGCAGCGAGCGCGGGGCCGGGGCGGGCAGGACAGGGCCGGGCGGGGGCCGCGCTCACCGCCGCCAGCCACCAGGACCCTCTCCTCCAGTCGCGATCTGGAGTGTACTGGAAAATGCCTACGTTGGGGTAGGGTAATTGCTGTCTGGGTTCGCAGGAGAGATGACAACGGTATTGGGCCACGGACCACAGCATTCTTTTTATTTGTTTGCAGGGGCTGGTGAGTCTGGGAAGAGCACTATCGTCAAACAAATGAGGATCCTGCATGTCAATGGATTTAATCCTGAGTAAGGAATGATCAATTTCGCTTTTGCTTCCAAACTGCATGCAAACTTTTTCACTTCTCTCCAGCATTTCCAAACGTGCTTTCTCTGAATAATTAATTTGATCATTGAATAGACCTTTGCCGGGGGGGGGGCGGGTAGTGAGATAGAAGCGTGTTGTTGAATTTGGTATATTTAGGCAAGTTCTTCTTTTGGTAGCGTCTAGATGAAAAAATAAAATAACTTCCCTAACAAAATAGGATTTATTAGATATCTTGTGATATTGGTCTGTGTTATTGGTACTGCACTTAGCACACTTAACCAATATGTCAGTATATACTTATCTCTATATCCTTGGTCTGCCTCTATTTCAATTCATATCTATCAACATATGGATAATTCAAGTAAAATATATTTACAAGTGTAGCTGTATAGTTTTTATATGCAATATTCGTAACAACGTTGCCATGCTTTGTGTAACCTGTGTAGTTTAAAACTACACATTGTAATGTGTGCATTCAAGTTTGCTTAGTGTACAAATTAGAAAAAAAGTATGTTGGGGCACCTGGGTGGCTCAGTCGTTAAGCGTCTGCCTTCGGCTCAGGTCATGATCCCAGGGTCCTGGGATCGAGCTCCGCATCTGGCTCCTTGCTCTGCGGGCAGCCTGCTTCTCCCTCTCCCACTCCCCCTGCTTGTGTTCCCTCTCTCGCTGTGTCTCTCTCTGTCAAATAAATACATATATTCTTTAAAAAAAGAAAAAGAAAAAGAAAAAAAAGTATGTTTTCCTTTCCCAGTTAAAAACTTTGCAACTGTTGTCTTGGGGGTTGATGTTGACCTCTAGAAAAACCAGTCTAGCCCCATGCTGCAGCTGGAAGTTTAAAATCCCATTCAGCTGATTCAAGTCAGTTCTAAAGATAAATTAAATTAATAACAATTCTCTTTTAACATAGGGAAAAGAAACAGAAAATTCTGGACATCCGGAAAAATGTTAAAGATGCTATTGTGGTAAGGATTTTTTTTAAATGTTTGGTTAATAGAAAGGTTAAATACTCTGCTCTCTAAAACTGTATAGACAAATTATATATTTTAGTTGTAATAAGAGGAACCTAAATGTTGTATTTATCCATATATCTTTTTCTTCATTCCATTTTAGACAATTGTTTCAGCGATGAGTACTATCATACCTCCAGTTCCACTGGCCAACCCAGAAAACCAATTTCGATCAGACTATATCAAGAGTATAGCTCCTATCACCGACTTTGAATATTCCCAGGTAAGTAAATCTTTCTTGAAATATTTTAAATGGTGGAAAAGAGAACCATTTTTAATGAGATTGCTTGAGAATCAATGTTAGTATTATTTTATCTTTGACTTTCTTCAAAATCTAGCTCTCTGCCTGAGAGAAATACTTCCCTTCATACCAAAATATTAACATTGGTTAAAAATGTTAAAGACAATAGGATTGTAAGAAATGCTTTTATGAATGTATTGGTGAGGTTGGTAATCAGGAAAATAGCCTACCTTTAGGAAATATTGATAGTACTTTTTCCTATATGTATTTCTAAATTAACAATTAAGCAGTTTCCCAGATAACAAAAGAATAGAACTGACATGAGCAGAGAGAAATATTTATGGTAAGTGACTTCTTCCGGGGGAATAGTAGAACAGAATTCAGTTTACTCTTAAGATGTGCATCCTGTAGCTCAAATGAGAAGAGAATGCACGCTGTAAATAACATGGATCACTTCTGAATGTTTATTCTGTGATGGGAAAAAAACGTAGTTTGCTTCACATCTGCAGTATTTATGGCAGCTTTCCTAATTCCTTGGGTAACAGTATTGCTTATGTGAAAGGGTAAAATGAATAGTAATTTTTTCTTGTTTGGTATATATACATATCTTTAAAGCATTGTTATTTGGTCATTTGATTAAGCATGTGTCAAAGGAAAATATATTTGTTAAATTTCTCAGAAAGTCATTTTTACAGTTGTAAAAAGTTGTACCAAAAGAGTTACAGTTGGTACAACTTACAGTTGTACCAAAAGAGCATATTTGTGTGTGTGTGTGTGTGTACCCAACAGTAACAGAATTTTAAAGGTTTTGTTGCCTGGCACAGTGCTCTTGAGACATTTTTCTTTCTCACAATCCCCCCTTCGAAAGGAAGGTGATACAGAAGGCAGTGTGTAAAATAGACAGGTCCTGCCCTGCTCTGACTGAAGTCTGGGGCAGTGTGCACATGCTCGCCCCTACCCTGACTCTGCAGCAGAGCACCCTTGTTGTGGAAGCTTTGTAGCAGGATGGCAGATAAGAATGACCCTTTTGAAAGCTTTTATTTGCATCCTTTCCTGTGATTTTTGCATCTGTAAGCATTCCAGCGTAGGCCCTGAGAGCTCTGGAATTTCTTTTTTTTTTTTTTTTTTTTTTTTTATTTATTTGTTTGAGAGAGAGAATGAGAGATAGAAAGCACGAGAGGGAAGAGGGTCAGGGGGAGAAGCAGACTCCCTGCTGAGCAGGAAGCCCGATGCGGGACTCGATCCCGTGACTCCAGGATCACGACCTGAGCCGAAGGCAGTCGCTTAACCAACTGAGCCACCCAGGCGCCCAGCTCTGGAATTTCTAACAGGAAGGAGTTAGAGGTGGCAAACTGGCTAGAAAAGGGGGCTGGGGTGTCTGGCACAGCGGGCACACTTTTTTACTGAATTGTGTCTTTAACTGGATGGCTTGGAGGCGGTAAAGGAGATGACAGGACAGGGGTGTAGCGGGTAGGACTAAAGCAGTGATTCAGCCAGCTACAGCTATAGGATGTCCCCCAGTACTGTGTGACATTGTATATATGGAAGAAGTCACCCCAAACTACAAGGTCCTAGCTCAAATCAGGGGTGGCATTCCCATTCAACTTTATTTTTTTTTAAGATTTTATTTATTTATTTATTTATTTATTTATTTATTAAAGATTTTATTTATTCATTTGAGACACAGAGATACAGAGAGAGAGAGAGAGCATGAGCAGGGAGAGAGGCAGAGGGAGAGGGAGGAGCAGGCTCCTCGCTGAGCCAGGAGCCAGATGTGGGGCTCGATCCCAGGACCCTGGGATCATGACCTGAGCCGAAGGCAGACGCTTAACCATCTGAGCCACCCAGGCGCCCCTAAAGATTTTATTTATTTATTTGACAGAGAGAGAGAGAGACAACCAGAGCAGGAACACAAGCAGGGGGAGTGGGAGAGGGAGAAGCAGGCTCCCCACCGAGCAGGGAGCTAGATGAGGGGCCCCAATCCCAGGACCCTGGGATCACGACCTGAGCCCAAAGCAGAGCCCAAAGCAGACGCTTAAGGACTGAGCCACCCAGGCGCCCCCCCATTCAACTTTAGATTTACATATGTAGAGAAACATACTTAGATTCTCAAATTTGTCCTGTCATATTTGCCTGAAGTAATCATAAAACATCTCATATAATATGGTTCTGATTTAGGGGAAAAAGTTATTCCTACCATGTAATGAGAAATTAGAATTGAGATGTGTTCATCACAAATCTTCTCTCTTCATATGATAGACTCACGCACAATGAGGGATTTCATACTCAACCCCAAGTTCAGAAATAGTCAGTCATTCCCAGGTGGATTCTAAAGGATCTAAAGCACCTAACTTGTGAAAGTGTTTTTTGAGCTAAATCATGAATATTTTTAATAAAAAAAATAAAATTCGAGAAACCATTTCCTTTGAACACACATATTTTTACATAGACGTGTTAAGACTACTTAAAAATGATTATCAGAAACCGTAATTCATTATCCATAAAATAAAAGAGAATTAGGACCCAGCAGACACAAATGCAGTTATGCTCTTTCAGAGATAATGCTTTTTTTTTTCTTTTTGGTAGGTTTTAAGCCTAGCATTCTGTTGTCTTATGTGCCTGTGCTGTGTCCAATGTGATTATGTTTATAATAGAGTCAACACTTGTATAAATAAGGAAATTAATACCTAAATATATAACTTTCTTTCTGAAAATGCTATTTTTATTTTAATGTGCACACAATTTTCAGTAACATATATTCCATCGTGCCCTGAAATATTCATCACTTATATCAGTAAATTGAATAGTTCTTGAATTTACATTTTGATGACCCTCACTGAAAAAGATATTAAGACAGGTCTCTCACTTATATACTAATAACACTTGATACTTTTGGAAAAAATTAACTTTTATTTAAAGAAAATGTATATTATTGTAGAAGTCATAAAAATAGAGCTAAATCAATTATCTTAGTAGTAAACATAACACAAATTTACTAATTCTAGGACTTTTTGAGATTGAATCCTTGAAAAAGTCTTTTGGTGTCACAGTCCAATTCTTTAAGGGTCGTAAGTTCATTTTCTTGTAGCTATAAAATAATTTTATCATAAAAAATTAACTTCAGAGTTCTTTAAGAAGGAAAAATTAGAAGAATATACATTTAAAATTACATGAGACTGCCCATTATAATATAAAGTCTAACCTTATCTTGAGTATCTTAATGATTCTCTCTAAAAATATTACACTTAAGTTTACCTTTTGGTTTTTGGTTTTGGTTGTTTTTGGTTTTGGTTTTGGGTTTTTTTGCTGTTCATATTGCCTTCCATTTGGATTTCCTTTTTTTTTTTTTAAGATTTTATATATGTATTTGAGAGCGAGAGGTGGGGAGAAGCAAGCAGACTTCCCACTGAGCAAGGAGCCCACCAAGGGGCTCAATCCCAGGACCCCGAGATCATGACCTGAGCCGAAGGCAGAGGCTTAACTGTTTGACTAACTAAGCCACCCAGGTGCCCCTCCACTTGAATTTCAATTGAACTATAGGAAACCTAAGTTTTAACAGAGAAGGCTGGTATAGATAGTGAATAGTGCCCTGCCAGCTAACAGTTGCTGTGGGGGTTAGAGAAAGCATTCAGGGCCAGACCTCCCTGACCTCGTAGGCCAGGTCTGTATTGATCTGGGGAGCCTTTGGAGAGCTCTGAGCAGTGCAATTACATGACCTGGTTGTGTTTTATCAAGATCACTCTGGCAGTAGGTGGAGAATGGGTCATAGGAAGGCAAGGTTGCAGTGGCGCAAGGGTCTGGGAATCAGTTGTAGAAATCCAGATGTGAGACAATGGAGCAGCTTGGTGTGGGGTGGTATAATTCATTGATAGGTGCCTAGTTAGTTCTTTTCTTATGCATATATCCAAAATTGTCTTTCTGTGGACTGGGGTCCATCCAGGAACCCCTTGGCACCATGCATTTGCATCCAGTTCATCTACACATGAGGTGATAGAAAATAGTCTCAGGTGACGATCATGATAGATTCCCCCTCCACCTCCCAAAAAACTCTTAGCACGATACCTAAGAGCAATTAATTCAACTGAACTATTAATTCATGTGTGTGGTTTTTTTTTCTTCTTAAAATGTGGGTATTTTATTAGCTCTTTTAACATTGTAGTTTGCTAGGTTATTTTAAGGGGAAGATGAAAACTAAGACTTCCTGAGAAATGTGACAGCAGTCTGACGTGTTGGTCAGTGCTCTGTCATGACCACCTGGCATGTCCTACGTTGACGTTTTATCAGAACTGCGTGTCAGTGTAGACCCAGAGAGCGAGAATGACACTGTCCTGCCCGCTCCTCCCAGGTAAAAGTACACGGGGATTTGGTTAAGGAATAGGCTGGCTCCCCGCAGTGCACAGGGGCAAGGCCCTGGGAGCCTGGCTGCCCGCTGTGGGTCTTAGATCCGAGGCTCTCTAAAGACTTGACCTGGAGCTAGCGGCCCGCCACGCGGTGAGAACAGCGGTGGGAGCGGGGCTTCCGGGAGTGGCCCTTAGGAGGGTGCGCGCACGCCACGGAAAGGCGGGAAGCGAAGCGTCCAATGGTGAGGCGCGCTCAGCTGCTCCCGCCCGAGTGCTTGTCCTGTCCTCTGGTGAAGGCTCGCAGAATTCCGGAACTCACGTCATCCAGGTTAGTGGACTAGCGTCTATAGTGTTTTTTAACCCACTGATCTCTCTCATCCCCGCCCCCCACCGCCACCATCCAAAAAGTCTTTGAAGCCCACAGTCTATATCAGGTAGGAGCAGGTTTTCCCTCTGGAGCCCAAGCTGCCGTCTCCACCCGGGACCCCAGCATTTGCCCCTGAACCTCATCAGAGCCCTCTGGGCTCCCCAGCGCTGTTGTTGGAAAATGACAGGCCAGTTGTGTTAGCTCCCAGGGAACAGGCTTCTTCTCTCTGGGCTGCCCCCCGTCCTCTCCCCCGACAACTCACACCCCATAGCTGG